ACTCACCTCAGCCTCCCAAAGGTGCGGGATTATAGGCTGAGCCACCGAGCCCGGCTCATAAATGGTTTTTAAATGACAGCACCTATGAAGACAAGGCTGCCAAAGATTCAGACTTTATAAATTATATATGTTTGTAATAAGAGGTGTTAAATCAGCCAAGTGTAGAGCAAAAAAGACACAAGTAAAGGGTAAGATAAATGCTCCCCAGAGGCATTTAGAGCTCATCTCTTTTCATTTGGGAACAGCCCACTGACAGAAATCAGAAAATAACTAGGTCTTCATAACTTCTGGCTACTCTCTGTACAGGACTGGATCATTTCCTGATTCAGCTGCCACTGTCCAATGAGTCAGTCTGACTGAATGCATGTTTCGCTGATCCTACACCCACAATCAGCCTCTAACGCACAACAGCGCAAATTCCAAGTAAGGTGAGAAATGCTATAGGTAAGGTAATGCAGGTGGTAATAATGACAGAGAATTGAATAGGGATAAAGATGGAAACAAACATAGCTCGAGTAAGGAGAGCCAACAAATAGAAAACACCTCTGAAAGTGCAACAAGGGAAATGCGGTTTCCGCTAAACCCAACTGCTCAGGCTTCCTGAATTGTCAGACACAAGAGTCCAGGACTGGAGGTTAGAAGTCTGGAAATCTAGCCCCAACTCTTGTCTCTGATAAGTTGTGACCTCAGTCACCTTATCCATAAAGTGACTGAAAAGGTAGGTTACATATTTAAACTGTGGTGTTCTTTTTATGAAGACCTCTGCTCATTTACTGCGTGAGACAAAAGCTATGCCTCTCCCCTTCAAGAGATTGTTTTTTCCTGAAGAATATCCTTTTATATAACAGTGGAACAATTGGGGAAAATATCATCACACTGTCTTTTACCACAAATCGCCATTTTCCACCGGGTCACTGGGCAGAATTCGCACTGAAGCTGTCGTCCTGCATACCATCGTCCATTAAATAGAGAAAGGGCTGTTTGGCATTCTTCTTCCCTTTAAACCAAAAATCAAAGGATATGCATCACAGTAACCTCCTAATATGTAGATTAGCTCTGCTATCAATGAACTCTTTTATTAATTTATTGAGGGACCACCAAGTTCACAGTTTTTGTACTACTTAGGGAGTCCTCATTAGAGTATTCAAACTCCCAAAGCTCACATTTATTCAGGAACCCTTTTTTACTAATCCTCTGAGAGATTTTGATGCATGGAAATTGGCTTGCGTCAAAGCTTCTTAATCCAAAAGATTGGACCATTAAAAATGCAGAAGTGTTTTCCACTGTTAGAACCTATTCTTTCTCAGACAGGATTGCTGTTCTTATTACAATGGTTAATTTAACCCATTAGCCATGGTGTGCAGGCAAACAGCAAGACAAATAGAAATGATACAGTAGCTACTCTCCCAGCTGGTCAAATGCACACTAAGATGGCTTCAATCTCTGGCTCTTTCAACTTGTACTTTTATATTCTCTATTCTAGATATTCCTTTTCAGTTTACATTTTAATCATTAAAATTATATAAGTAATAATGCAACTGTATAAAAGATTCAAGACTATGTAAGCATGTAATGAAAATAATACAAATGCATTATTTTCAAATCCCTTCTATATTTCTGTATCAGTTCTTAATATTAACATTTTAAAAAATACCATGCAGATGAAAGCTATATACCCAGTGGAAAAATCCCAGACATCAACAGAAATAGAATACTATACTGTGACAAAACAGAAGGATGTTCATATTCGGAATACTTACGACTGGTACTGAACATACACATTACCCCTCAGGTGAGGTTCCAAGTTACAGCTGACCTAAGGAGCAATGAAGAATGCAATCATAAAAAAGTTAGTCATCAAAGGTACTTTGTCCAGGCTAACAGTCTCAGAGATTCCAAAAAGGAGACACTAGCCCACTCTCGCATCTGTTTAAGGCATACTTCATCACACAGCATCACTGGAGGCCCCAATCACCTGATCCTTGTCAATTCAGGTTTTTTTCCCACGAATATGAGATGTTTCACATGTGCATAAAAATACGGACGATATCAACCAGTCCATATATACACTACCCAGATATAACACTTTCCATTTTTGACTGAGAATGTTTAAATAAAACATTAAAGACCTAGTTGAAGCCTTTCCATCCTATTTAAAAAAAAAAATCCAAAACAGGTTTATTGGAATGGGTTCCCATTCATCTTCATTGGGGTGCTTAGTGCTGCTTCCTCCTGAAGGAACATCTTCCTGTGAGCCTTGCTTTTCCTCCTGTGGGCTGAGAGAGGACAGTGGAGCAGCCAACACACAAAACTACTGTTTGTGCATGGCTGAAGACCGTGGTGACTTTATAGCAACCTGGGCATTTCACATCCATGAAGTAGGAGTTGGGGCTCTGCAGCAGGCGCTTCTTCTTGTGTTTCCTCTTCTCCTCTTCTGGAGAGGGATGAAAATATCCTCTGTGAGAGGCATGTTCTCGTGGGTAAGTCGTCACCACCAGAAAGGGCTCAATACCATTCTCCCTCCTCTATCACATAGGTGAGCACTCTCCACAGGCTGAGTGAAGCCTTCTCGTTTCAAACACATATACATACAAATACAAATATGCATATATAGATCTACACAGACACAAATACACATACACTGGCTTAGATACATATATCATATGCCTGCCTAAAACACACGTAAATGTCTATTATGTATAAGTATACACATACAAGAGGGAACCCAAAAAACCTCCATTTTATGAAAAATTACATATTTATTCTTACATGTTTAAACTTCAGTTACCTTCAAAGTATTCTCTGTTTGATGCAGTCCACCTACCCAGATGCTTTTTCCACTGCTCAAAAGTTTTTTAACTCATTGATTTTTATGTCTTAGTGCTTCTGCCATTTTTTGACCTCTTCCACATCAGTAAAACGTTTCCCTTTGAGGACTTTTTTCATCCAGGGAAACAAAACATGTCACTTGGAGTGAAATCGGGTGATCAGGGAGGGTGGGCATGGGGGTCATGCCATTTTTGGTCAAAAACTGCTGAGCACTCAGTACAGCGTGGGCAGGTGTGCTCATAAATCCCCCATCATGAAATGGGCAAGTGCATTGAAAGACGCTCCAAAAAAATTCACTGAAGCCAAGCACAGCATCTCACAATGCTAGCTGATACTCAGAGGCCGATGGGTTCCTAGAACACTCACCTAGCAGGGGAAGCCTATACTACAAGGGCCCTGCCCTCTAAAACATAATTCCGGTTTTTTGGGGGTCCTCCCTCCTATTTAAGTATATATACGCAAAGAAACATGTATATGCATTGATAAGCAACATATAGTACTGCTATCCATGTTTTAAATTTTTATTTAAATAGTATTCCACGTTTTTTCAAGATGTAATCACAGAAACTTAATGGTTCACCTTAACTACTGTATACTGGATATATCAGATTGATTTATCCACTCCTCTAATGATGGCTTTCCGAGGTACTGCCAGTTTTTCACCCACACACCTGCAGTCAGCATTCTGAATAGGTCTCTGTGAGTGGAAAGAGCTCTCTAACAGAAGGAGCATGCTGATTTTTAGGTTAGGTGTGCCTTACAGTTCACTGGGTATTCAAACTGCTTTCTGAAGTGGTTTTACTAATCTACACATCCTCACCTACTCTTGGCATTAATAGAATTTAGAATTTTTTGCCTAATAGGTGCGAATAATATCTCATTTTCATATGTACTGTTCCCATTACTAGTTAGGTTAAATATCTGCTCAATTTGCCTTCAAAAATGACAAATAAAATAATATATAAAAGTTCCTTAAATATTCATACTAGCAGTTAGCTTTTAGCTTCAAAATGAATCTAAAATTTTACAAGTCTTTCTTCTAAGGGTGGGGTCATAAACTGTCAAGGAGTATAGATCCTGCCCCTCTGGAACTTTAGAGATCATTTAATCCAGTAGTTTCCAAGGATTCATTACTAATTTTCCATGACGAATCTAATGTTCTGAAAGTTTCTGTACTAAAAGTATACTAAATAGCTTTCCCTTTGTAACTGCATGGGCTTGGCCATTCTATCAGCTTGGCTGATCAAATTTTAAACAAAAGAAAAAAACATGTTGTGGTTGTGGTTAGTGGGTGCAGCCTGTTGCGGGTTATGGTGCAATTTCCATTAACCAGCCTGAAGTTTTGAAAGCAGCTCCGCCACTACCGCTTCACAGAAGCAGTATAATCTAGGGACCCCATGAGGGAAACCACTGATGTGATCCAATTCCCTCACTTTTAGGATAAGGAAAAGTCACAAAGAAGTGACATGGCATGTTTGAGAGCACAAGGCTAGTCAAACCACACCACCTCCTCGGTCAGTGCGTCTAACATGGTACTGTATGAGTGTGACCAGGCACTCCTACTTTAGTGGTTATTGCTTGTGCTGAGAAGTTGTGTAAAGAGGAGGAGGCACATGCCACAGAAACAAAAGGTTAAGGGGGAACAATTTTATTTTATTGGAATTGTATTTTATTTCTTGAGTGGGAGTCTCACTCTGTTGCCCAGGCTGGAGTGCAGCAGCACGCTCACAGCCACTGGAGCCTCGACCCACTGGACTCAAGCGATCCTTCTTGCCTCAGCCTCCCAAGTAGCTGGAACTACAGGCGTGTGCCAACATGCCTGGCTAATTTTTCTATTTATTGTACAGATGATGTCTTGCCAAGTTGCCCAGGTTGGTCTTGAACCCCTGAGCTCAGGCAATCCTCTTGCCTCCACCTCCCAAAGTGCTGGGATTATAGGTGTGAGCCACCACGCCCGGCTAGGGGAAAAAATTTTAAAAGAATTTTTAAAATCTTGAAATCAGTTGCTATAAGTATAGCGTTGAATTTCATGAATCTCTTTTTTGGGTATTACAACTTTCCACTGTCATTTCCAATTGGTAGAAAAAAACACAGCATTATTCCTGTCTTTTCCCTAATTGTGGGACAATTTTCCTGCCCTCACATAACAAAGGCATTCAGGTTCAGATCTGATGAAATCACAGACAAAGGTAGAAAGCTTCACTGTGTTAGGATTCAACTAATTGGTCCTGGGAGCAGCAGGGATGGCATCTGGCCTTGCCCTTGCATTAAGGACTATTTTAAAGTAATTAAGTGTCATCTGAATGCCTTTTTACCCAGTTTGCTGCATCACACATGATGGTTTTGGTGATACTATGTTCAATATTGGAAGTATCTAATGAATATACACAATGTGAAAAAAATGGAATCTAGATTTATGTTCTTATGTAGCTGCAGAAGAAATAGCGTGCACCTTGGGTGGAAGTGGCACCCAAGGAAGTGGAAGTGGTACAACACAATGTACCAACAAACTCAGTGAGTGGAGTTGGGTCACACTGCACACACCGTACATAGCTCTAGGCAAGACGCCTATAGAAGAGGGAAGTGAGCACACTGTCCATCACATGTGGCTTCTAAGTGAAGGCCTAGATGGCTATGTACAGAGAACCTGATACAAAGAATTCACATGCTGGGAAAGAGTTGGAACACAAAGGTACTAAATAATTGAAAGAGCCTTTCTAGTTTACATTCCAGCATTCAAGAAATATGTTAAAACATGCTTATGATTTCATGTAGTATCTACGTGACACTGGTGATGAATGGGGGTGGAAAAGAAGAGAAAGGAAAATCACATTTACCAAGTGCCTATGCACCTGACCCTGGGCTAGGCACGTGCCATGGCACATGGCTCCTCCCTGGTGAACAACCTGCCCCCAGCTCTCTCGTGCCATTGAGCACTGCAAACCAGTCCCCTACTTCACACGCATGCCCACCTTGAACTGAATCACTTTCCCCACATTCTTGAACTCAGGGAGCACATCTTCATAGAAATCTAGGAACTGCTGGTAGGTCTCCTCCTCACTGTACTCCAGGCTTGCATCAGGGTCATAGTCATCCCTCCTGCACTGCTCCATTCCAAATGTTGTAAACATGCTTCTAATAAGAAGGGTGGGACTCGATGTTGGGAAGTTATGTTTACGTGAACATCTGCATATGAAAGAAATGCAAATTCATTAGTCCAGTAGTTAAAAATTAAACATAAAAAGCTTGTTTTAAACTCTGAGATAAAAACTCAATTAACTTAATTTTTTGACTTACTGTAAGATAATAAATCCCACTCAAATGCCAAGTTTCAACATTTAAAGAACTGTTCTAAGACTGAGTAATGTTGACTATCATTAAATTGTCAAGTTGGGCCAGGTACAGTGGCTCACATCTGTAATCCCAGCATTTTGGGAAGTGGAGGCAAGAGGATTACCTGAGCCCACAAGTTCGAAATCAGCCTGGGCAACTTGGCAAGACCTCGACTCTACAATAAATAAAAAAATTAGCTGGGCATGATGGCAAATGCCTGTGGTTCCAGCTACTTGGAAGGCTGAGGTGGAAGGATCACCTGAGCCCAGGAGGTTAAGGCTGTGGTGACTGTGAGCGTGCCACTGCACTCCAGCCTGGGCGACAGAGATTCCAAAAAAAAAAAAAAAGTCAAGTTGGGGCTGGGCACAGTAGCTCATGTTTGTAATTCTAGCACTTTGGGAGGCCAAGGTGGAGAAAGTGCTTGAGCCCAGGAGTTTGAGTCCAGTATGTGCAACATAGCAAGACCTCGTATCTACCAAAAAAAAAAATTAGCTGGGTGTGGTAGTGTGTGCTTGCAGTCCCAACTACTCAAGAGGCTGAGGTGAAAGGATAGCTGGTGCCCAGGAGGTCGAGGCTGCAGTGAGCCATGATGGTGCCACTACACTCTAGCCTGAACAACAGAGTGAGACCCGACTCAGAAAAAAAAGTAAAGCTGGGAATGGCTTCCAAGTTCATATACCATTCAGCTGCCTTCAAATGAAGTTCAGGAAGCCTTATGTCACATGTAGGACTCCTGAGAGGAAGGTGGGAATAATGCAATCCTGGTTCTGTACAATCTTCAATGAACTCACATGCTTAGAGAATAGTGTTAATCTTTGTGTTCTGACCAGCAGATAGAATAAAGAAGAGAGAGAAGATAGGATCATCCAACAGTTTCCAGTTAGTGTACTGATGTATAGCATTTTATGGTTTTCATGGCATTTTTACATTTTTTTCCCTCTGATTCTTGTAACTGTTAGGACACTGGGGGCCAGTATTGTCCCCACTTTGCAGAGAAGGAAGCTGAGGCCTAGAGAAGCATACTTGTCCAGGTCACATGGCTGGAAGAGATGGATCCAGGACATCTGCTTCAATCTATAATCTGGTACCTGTTCATTATAGGATCTAATCAATAAAATTTAATTATTTTATTGATTATTTAATGAAGGTGGTTAGCCATTATGAAGAACAATTTTCTTTTCATAGTTTAAACCGGACCAAGGATAAGCTGACCAGGCTATGACTGAGAAATGTCTCAAAAATCCTTTATATGAGTTTACTTTCTTATTTACTTCCTTTTCCTGAAATAAAATGAGAGAGAGAGAAAAACTTAGGTCAAGATTCCAAATAAACAAAATTTTCCTGGTTAGGGTTCTAGTTAAAAATTGATAATACAGGCCGGGCTTGGTGGCTCAGTCTGTAATCCCAGCACTTTGGGAAGCGGAGGCGAGAGGATTGCCTGAGTCCAGGGTTTGAAATCCGCCTGGGCAACTTGGTGAGACCTCATCTCTACAATAAATCAAAAAATTAGCCTGGCGTGGTAGTGCGTGCCTGTAGTTCTAGCCACTTGGAAGGCTGAGCGGAAGGATCGCCAGAGCCCAGCAGGTGGAGGCTGCGGTGGCTGGGAGCAGCCACTGCACTCCAGTTTGGGCTACAGAGTGAGACTCCAACTCAAAAAAAAGATAAGACAAAGATTGTATAAGAGAAAAAAATCCACAGAATTTAAGAAAAAAGTTGAAGAATATAGGACGTGTGTTGAAAAAAATGGCCCTGAAATGACTAAATGTTGAATCATACTCATTTTCTATGTCTGTAATATGGATGTATGCCCCAATTGAGATACTGCTTACAGAATGGCCAGCATATACCATTCTGCTCAGAAATGGTCTATCAGTGTTCATTAATGTGAAATTTTCCATCTTCCAAATGATCTCCTGGATTATTCAATTAGAAACCTTATAATTAGAGCCATCTTCTCAACTACCAACAGAACAAAGAGCGAGGATTCAACCTGGCTGGCAACATTAACAGTGAATCAAAATTTTACAAGTATGAAATACATACAGAATGAAACAAGAAACAAATTTAACAAGGTTAAAATTCTGCTCATGGGACCCTTACATCCAAATGAACTTGGTCCTAGTTTCCAGGATGTCAAGTATGCATTTGTCAGTTTGGAAATGCAGCCAAAGGCCCTGCCTAGGGAAAAACTCCACTTGGCCTAGAGGCAGTCTTTACAATCTGACTATATACAAAAGGCCAGCCCTACAGCTCCTACTGAAAAGTCAGCTAAGAAATGTTTCAGAAGGCAGTCTAAAGCTGTGGTACCAAGTCTATGTGGTTCTCGGAATTACCTGGGAAGAACTGAGATATTTCAGGTTCTGTCCTAGACCACCTGATCAGACTTTAAGGGTTGAGGGACCTATATTTTCAAAGTAGATCCCTACCTGGTCCTGAAGATTAGCTGTGTTTGGGAACCACTGGTTTAGAGCATACTATTTACCCATTATTATGATACCTAAATCAAGTCACACTGTTGCAAAAATACACAGTTGGACATTATCTTGGACCAAAGATGGCCAATAAATGATGTGGGGATCCAAATGCCCCCACATGTATAGCTAACGGACTATTCTTTTTCCTCTTCTCAAGGGCGCAGTCCTGGTACCCACTATGTTTGTTCTGCATAGAATCCCCATATTGCATGCTAAGGTTAGGCTGTAATAATTTTTTTTTTTTTTTTGAGTTGGAGTCTCACGGTCGCCCAGACTGGAGTACAGTGGACGCTCTGGGTCACCGCAGCCTCAACCTGCTGGGCTCTGGCGATCCTTCCGCCTCAGCCTTCCAGTAGCTGGAACTACACGCACACGCTACCACACCTGGCTGATTTTTGATTTATTGTAGAGATGAGGTCTCGCCAAGTTGCCTAGGCGGGTCTCGAACCCACGGGCTCAGGCAATCCACTCACCTCAGCCTCCCAAGGCGTGGGATTACAGGCTGAGCCACTGAGCCCCGCTGCACCCAGCTAATTTTTTGATTTTTATTGTGAGATGAGGTCTCACTAAGTTGCCCAGGCAGGTCTCGAACTCGTGGGCTCAGGCAATCCACTCACTTCGGCCTCCCAAAGCACGGGATTACAGGGTGAGCCACTGAGCCTGGCCAGGCTGTAATAATTTATCAGTTACTGTAAGAAACATTCTCATGAAAATTACATATGTAACTGTAATAAAACATCTACGGAAGTTACTGTTCCTCTTCCTATCTAATATCTTTATTCAATATTCCATGAGAGAAACCTTTAGAAGCTGATGCCAGGAAAATTTTTGTCTTCCAGTTTCACCACTCATTCTTCCTTTTTGGTAAGGATGACAGCTTATTATTGGTTTGGGATGCATTTAATTCCAAAGTACTACACATTTACAATAACTCACTTTCTCTTCCTTACCTTGCTTTTGATTTCCTCTATTTTATTTAAGGTAATGAAGTAAGTTGTGAGCCTTCTTTAACTCATGTTTGGAAGTGAGGTATAAGTAGATATTCAGGCAGGCAAGTTTTACCTTCCATCAGTAATTAAGATCTTTTGGTCGAAAAACAAGAATAGAACTCCCCTCAAAGCTGTCACTCCAAGAAATATCAATTTCAAATGGCTCTAGAATTGAACTCTGTACTAATTACAAAAACAAACAACTAAATGAAATGCTTAGGTTAGGGAAGTGCTCCTCTGATGGTATGACCAATCTTAACAACAGAACAGAATGACTGTATGACCTGGAGCAAGTCACCAAGGCTCTCCACTAAGGGAAAACAGAACAGTATACTTGTCTGAAGGGATGGTGCTGGACTTCACAACTTTCACAGAATTTTATGTCACAACTTATCACTTGAATGATGTAAATGCCCATATTGCTCTCATACTTTGACAATTGTGATGGTAAAATTTCATATGCCGATGAAAATAGTAAGACACGTTTACAAACTAATTTGACCACTTTTCTTTCCTTTTTTTTTTTTTTGAGTCTCAATCTGTCGCCCAGACTGGAGTGCAGTGGCCGCTCCCGGCCACCGCAGCCTCGACCTGCTGGGCTCTGGCGATCCTTTCGCCTCAGCCTTCCAAGTAGCCGGAATTACAGGCATGCGCTACCACGCCCGGCTGATTTTTTGATTTATTGTAGAGATGAGATCTCGCTGCCCATGCGGGTCTCGACCCACGGGCTCAGGCAATCCACTCACCTCAGCCTCCCAAAGGCGCGGGATTACAGGCTGAGCCACCGAGCCCGGCTTAGGGGTCATGCCATTTGTTTGGGGAGTGTAAAATGAAGTTAATCTATATTTGTTAAGACACATGTTTCTTTTTCTGGCACCTTTTGTCACACCCTGTTATGGGATTCCTCTTTAAAATGAGATAAGCACTTTACATAGATTCTCTCAATATTCCCAGCAGCACAAAGTGGTTTCCAGGTAAGAATATTTTTTAAATCCCCACTTTACAGGTAAGAATATTGAGAAACACGGAGTAAGTAACTTGCCCAAGATGATAATGGGTATTCATCTAAAGTGGAATCCTAAACAAAGACTTATTTTTTTCTTATTTATTTATATGATTTATTTATGATATATTATAAGATTATTTATTTATGTGATTATAAGAGTCATCTTATATTGTTCCCATTTTACTTATTAGAGTATGCCTTTGCAGATAAGTGGATAAGCTGTCCCGATATAGGCTATCCAGTAAGAGATTGAGCTAAATTTTAAACCTGGAACAGTTTAATTCCAGAGTTCATACATTTTCTTCTGAACTACATGGCTTCAGGGACATCTTTAAACCTCCTTTGCATACTATTTTCTATAAAGGGCAGATTTTAATTTTC